TTTAAGGTGATCAAGAGAGAACTATTTAAGGCGCTCAGAGTACATCACAAGTTCTTTAGTTTGTCTGCTAGTTTATATTTTACTGTGAACACATCTAAATCTATCTTTTTGGCAAAAAATGAACAAATGATATTAAAAATACTAGCTCATATGTAAGATTAAAACTGATAGCTAAGTTTTCCTAAATTTATATTCCTGGTATCTGAAAAAAATATTTAATAGATATGTATCCAAATTAATTTTAATACTTGAGTGACACTGACATTTGGATATTTGGTAATATTAAAAGCATTAAGTAATTGTCATCCCTTTTCCCTGTAATATTCTTAAAGATGCTCAGTTAACTGACAACATTTATACCAACTCATACATGTGTTTCTTATCTATGTTTTATGGGATTTAGGAGCATTTAACTGTGCAACTACTTGGTCATTCACCTACATAAAAATAGATTTGTAGTGGTAAAACAGGAAAATGAGAAAATGTAGTGACATTCTCACCTGAAAATGCAATGTTAGTTCTTATTTCTAGAGTATGGAAACCGCACAATACATGAAGTAGTTGAAATAAGTGCTGCCTTCAACAAAGATCTGACAGATATTTTCTGTTCCTGTTGCAAGGATTCATCATTTAATGAACTTAAACTGTGAAAATGTTAAAGAAGATGTTGCATATTTTCTGCCAAAATTGTAAATAAAATTTATACTGAGAGTTTTCTCCAGCCCGTATGTGAAGTCCGTATGCTGGATATTAAGAAAGTAATACTATTTCAAGTATTTTCTTCAAATCAGAAAGAATCCAGGCTCTTTACCTCCTTAGTACACAAGCAGACAAGATGATCTGGCTTCAAGTTACCATAAGTGAATACTCTGTAAGCATTACATCCTGCTGACTGTGATTATTCAGATCAAATGTAAGTAACTACTTTACATGAATTTGCTGAACTCCGCAGCACATTAACTTCTTACAGGGATAATTACAGGCTTGAGTTGTATGCAATTTGTATAGCATTCACTGACCTCCAAGTTGACCTTGTTCAGGGGCAAATTCATAGGTTGTCATAAGCCCCATTAGACATGCCTAGTTTGAGGTAAAACCTTTCCAGACTATAGCCATTGTAGACAATAAGACATTCACAATCATTCCACTGAAGTATTAATTTTAAGTGCTAATATATTCTCCAGATACGATCAAACTAGATCACATTGCTAAGCAAGACTTCAACCTTAAAAAAACCAAGCAATTGAACAGATCCTGCATAATTTTAAAAGTCAAACCAGAGATTCATGTTTTAAAATGGCAAACTAACTGTATGTTCACATGCTTTTTAGACAAATGTACACATGGTCACAATTACCAGGCATCAAACTACTCAGACTACCTGAAATAGCTACAACTAACTGAAATCTGTATCTGAAGGCTAATATTTTTATCCATTAGAGAGAAAATGGAGGAACAAGAAAATAGAATAGTTTAAAACGGGCATAAGTTGTTAGATAGGACCTTTGTATTAGATTTTTAGAACCAATGTATATATATGCGCAACGTGAAAGATGTTGCAAAGAAAACATATAATCAGTAGTAAAAGAGAGAACATGTTTTCAGAAATACTCATTTTACTCCAAGTTACGGTTATGTGGGTGAATTCCAAATGGAAAGGAGACAAAAAAATTAGCACTTTTCTAGGTCATAAATAATAAGGCAAATAAAATTAAAGTTTGTAAAGACTGTGCTGAACTATTCAGTCTATTCTTTTAAAAGACAAATTGCTGATCACCTCTCTGCATATTGGGACTTGGTTGTAGTTGGTAACAGCAGGTAAGCAGGTAAAATCCAGCTGATGCTGCCATGTCAGCTGGTAGGGTTTGCCAGGTACCTCCCACTCTTACAGACTATGAATGTATCCTTGTAATGGATGCAGAATCTTCTGGGTCACTGACAAAATTGTGACTCCTGATGCCAGTTTAATTCACAGATCCCTAACATTATTTATGGTGTTCCCAAACTATTTTTTCATGTTGTTAAGTGACTTGATTTGCTGTACAAGTGCCCCTTCTACATCTTTCAAATATTTATCACATAATTTAGAAGTGGAGACTTACTGAAACTTGAAGACATTCATAAATTATTCTGTCATTGCCATTAAAAGGTGTTTCTCTAATGCAGCCAGAAATTTATTTAATTAAATATTATAGCACAGACTCCACTGTTTTGTCTAACTGTAATGTCTACATTCTGTCCAGGACACTTACTGGTGCTGAAATCTGAACTGATTCAGTTTACTTTAGTGATTAAAAGCTAAATCCTTCCTCCTGGTGGTGAATGGAACTTTTCCATAATATTTAAATTTATTGAGAGAAACCATAAGCTAAAAGTTGTCGTGCATGTCACAGTGTTTCACTCCATTCCCACTCATTAACTTTTATGGTGAAGTCAACAGCCTGGACCTATTTTCAGCAGTCTGCTGAAATCCTGTTCAAACAGAGGAAGAATATCCTGCAGAAGAATCAAGTGTGCCCCTCAAGCCATCCTACATAAACACCCCAAGTGTTACCAAGGAAACTTCAGAAGCTTATGACTAGACATTATCTCTTCTATTTCTACTCAAAGGAGAGCCAAGTTTAACTATTTTTTATTTAACATGGATGAAACATATTTTCAGCTATTTTCAGCTTTTTGCTGAAGGACAAACAAATAGAAATTTCTCAGGATAAAACAGGACGTAAGGAATGAGCTAGTAAGAAACTTATTTTAATATCTTTATTCATATCAAAACTGTAACAAGACAAACCCACAAACCAGACATTTACCCTTTGCAGATAATTTCCATACCCTACATGACTGCAGAGCTTTGTGGCAAACAAGGAAATGCTGTGTTCATTCTTCTCAGTACAGCACAAAAAAATAAAAAGAAAGTGAGAGTGCTTCGGAGGAGCATACACTAGCATTTTACTACTTCTACTCAAGTTTGAACACTGTTTATTATCTTACACAGACAGCTGAAGACAGTCATTGTGTTTCAACCCAGTAAAGCTTCCAACATTTTCTGCAATATCTGCCCTTCTTGCAGAAACACAAAAGTAATTAATTGTAATTCCTCATTTAGTTAGATGGACAAAAAACTTGCTGACAGACATATCCCTTTCAGTTAAAAAAATGCAATTCACTCAAAATATTGACACTCTTCTTAAATGAGAACACATGTTAATAATTATGTGAAGTCTGTTAGAGATAATAGACAACAGAAAAGCCATTATCTTTAATGTCCTCCTGCGTCTTTGAAATGATAATCATTGCACTAAAGGGCCAAAAATGATCGATGGACTTTCATTTGGAGCATACACCTGACAAAAATTACTTGACATTTACTCATTTTTTTTTTGTCAGATAAAGACAGAGTGGCATCACAAACATCCAACTACCTTATTCCTTCAAAAAAGTGCAGAAAATACTTGAATTTTTGAGGGTAAGTTAGTAATAAGTGTTCAAATATATGTAACTTCAAAATATGCAAGTCCAGCAATGGAGCTACTGAATGCATGTGGATTACAGTAAAGGAATGTTATTTTCTAAATTCTCTCTTTTTCAGGCCTACGTTAATGGTACTGTACTGAATCTACTTACAGTTTAAATTTACATCAAAATTTAATTTGAGCCCAATTTCACAAATATAACTTACAATATGTTTTTTTAGATTAGCAGTTGCTCTTTCACAAGCATGTCAGTGATACTTTAAAAATACAAGTAATATTCAAAAGGTATGTCTAAATACCCAATAAAAGACAAGAAAGGCAAATTTGAAAGTCCATTAGAATAGAATAAATTTCTAAATTTAAGCTGCATACTAAAAGAACTTGATGGATCTTGCCCTTTTTCTTCTTTACTTCCAAAAACCTATGGCTTCTAAGTAATTTGGAAAGTGGGACCAACTACATGCATTTGAAAAAGCTTAACTAAAAACTGCAACAGCTTACTAGCATAAACACTTTTAGATCCAGTGTAAACAGCCAAGCTGTATCATACCAGTAACTTGGGTATTCAGGTTAGCTAAATGAACGAGCAAAACCAGAGAGAAATTTATTTGATTAATATACAGGTGCTAATGAACTTTTCCCTTTGCCCAGTTAATTTCAACTTTGACTTCTACAAATTCAACCACTTCAGAAGTATCCTATGAAATAAATCCTACTCTTTCTACATATTATTTATCCATCTAGATTCTCTGGGAAAGTCAGGATGCAGTAGTTTCTTCTATGTCATAGATATCACATCTGAAAAATCACTGCATTGTATTACCTTGTGTAAGATTGTAATGCTTCTAGTCTTACACTTCAAAAGCATTCTTATGAGGGAAGAATTACATTTATTCCTAAATATAGCACACATTCTTTTGCTGTAATATTGAGAAATAACTAATACATCATCTAGAAAGTAAACTCTCCCCATCCAGAAAAGATTAATTCTACTCTTAAGACATAATACTTAAAAAACTAGAACACTTATTTTGATCACAATTTACTTAATAGTGTATAACTGTTATTTACAAGACTGCATATATAAAATCATAGAATCATAGAATGTCTTGGGTTGGAAGAGACCTATAAAGGTCATTTAGTCCAAACCCCTCACAATAAGCAGAGACATCTCCAACTAGACTAGATTGCTCAGAGCACCATCAAGCCTGACATTGAATGTCTCC